TCAAGTGGAAGGATCACCAGTATCCTGGAAGGAGTGGACTGGGGTCGCGGAAGCTGCGCAGTCGATGGCCAGGGCCGTTTGTCATCACCGACCGCCGGGGGAACGTCTATACCATTCAAGATGGTCGGGGATCGAAAGTAGTGAATGGGACGCAGCTTCGCAAGTGGCATGATACACCCGAAGAGCTTGTCATCCGGACATATAAAATACGATGCTGTGTATTTTTTCACCGCCTCGGGATTTGTGCTAGTAAGAAGGGAACCGCGTACAATTTCACGGCTTTGTGTAGGGATTCCTGTTCACAACGTAACCGCTGACATATCAGACTCTCGAACTTACACGGTGCTAGTGAGGACTGAACGGGGCTTGCATCAGAGGCAAGCTGACTCTAAATTAGAAAGAACTCAAGAAATCAGCGCCTGCGAGAGATGTTCCCCATCATCTTGGATAAGTCAACATGAGTTACGCTGACTGATTACTTGATTACTTTGATGTCACCTAGTCATTAGCAAGATTACCGGTAGGCTTGGCCTAGTCGACTGTAACATGCCTAGTCATGTGCGACGTGTAGTTTACAAAAGAGCCATTCATAAAGTCGATATTGTATAATTTGCCTAGATGCAAGTTAGCATGGACATAAAAAATGTCGCGGACAGTTGGCTGAATAAACCAGCAGTGCGCCGAAGAATTGCATAGGCATTTGGTAGTTTGATGGGCTTACCTAAAAAAAGTAAACAGCCAGACAGTCCTAGGTTCTAGCCAGTGAGTGTTACTCAAAGATGAAGGTGTTCACCGGCTGTCGATTAGCTATCTGTTGACCGCTCGCTGAGCTTAACAAATGGCTTGTAAACGTTTCGCCAATATACGGGGAGACATCATCAGTGCGCAGTTGAGTGGGTACTTCTTTGCCTGCGTGCGTTTATATAGCATTCGAAGGCCATCCGTTATCTTCTGACGCGATTGGCTACTTGAAGTGTAACGAAGTTAGTGATTCTGTTGTTCCGTTTGTGATCTTTGTTGCGTTGTGGTTTGCGTTCCTTCGTGTTGATTGGTTATCCAACAGCCCTCTATTTCTAGTAGATTGTTCTCCCTGACCTTGATTCGCATTGCGTTGTGGTCTGACGTTCTCGAGTTTGATTGATTGCTTGTACCGTCGTATTTCCTCTACCGCGGCGGTTAGTGTCCCTGCGTCCGCCTGTCCGTAGACCTCAATTTGTAATTGTCTGTTCAGCAATCTAGTGATGAGGAAGTCCAGAAACGCCAGTCTTCCGATGTTTTCTTCTTCGGTTGTAAATTTGATGCCGTTAAAAACGTCTTATAGCGGTTGGCTTACCCATTTACGAGCCACTAAGAGCGAGAGAACACCGAAACCACAGAGCGTCGGGCTGCAAAAGTAACCAGACGAGGAACTCATAAGAGAAGCAGGAAAGCATCATTTAAACGGATACATCAATTGGATTGGAGAAGGCGCCCAACGAAAGCTTCAAACCAACCGGCGGACGCAGGGACACTAGCGGCCGCGGGAGAGGAAATACGACGGTACAAGCAATCAATCAAACTCGAGGACGTCAGACCACAACGCAATGCGAATCAAGGTCAGGGAGAACAATCTACTAGAAATAGAGGGCTGTTGGATGACCAATCAACACGAAGGAACGCAAACCACAACGCAACAAAGATCACAAACGGAACAACAGAATCACTAACTTCGTTACACTTCAAGTAGCCAATCGCGTCAGAAGATAACGGATGGCCTTCGAATGCTATTTAAACGCACACAGGCAAAGAAGTACCCACTCAACTGCGCACTGATGATGTCTCCCCGTATATTGGCGAAACGTTTGCAAACCAGTTGTTAAGCTCGGCGAGCAGATCAAAAGTCATCCGATCAACAATAAAAAACTCACCCGAGCTAATGATATTTCAACACATTAACATGAGGGCGTTCATTCTATTTTGGAATTATATAATATGGCAACCGCAAAGTGGTCGAGGCCTACCTCAGGGAGCGTGACCGTTATCCTCCACAGATTCTCACCAAGCGAACTACAGTCAAGTAACCCCGGAGCCCAACGTCCACAGGCAAGTTGCGCAAGGCTGAGGAAGGGTTGAGCACGTCGGAATTAAGTGCAAGATGGAGATAAAAGGGCGAACGGAGAGTAACCAGGTACATGCGGCTGATGCGGCAAAGGTGTCCAAAAATCACTGAGATTCATTCAGAATTAAAAAACGGAGACCATATATGATGAACATTTTGTTGTCTCCACGCCCTTTACAGAGCCATCAGACACCATGGCCTTAAGCCCTTGTCGTGCTGTCGTCCCCCTTCCTTAGGGCATTCCCTTAACGGTTGACGGCTCTGAAGTGGTTGGGTGTAGAGCCTTCGAGAGGTTGTTTGTCCATGCGTCACCCAAAGTAATCAACATGTATATAGTCACACGGATGAAGAAGCATAAATGGTTGTACGCGGGCGCAGGAAGCAGAAAATACGCAATCCCAAGCGCGGGATAGTTTGAGGCAGTGGATAAACACACTTTGATCGTTAAATAAAATGAATACTTATACGGACCACGGCCACTTTGTACCATGCATTTTTAAAAAGGCTAAGGGAGCGAAGTATCTTTGGTTTAGCAGCATGACCAAACTTTGAAAGAAGCTCCCCGACCAAAGCCGGCTGGCAATCCGGTGTTTCCTACGTCCATTCGGCGATATTACTCATGTTGTTTCAGTTTTCAGGCAACGAAACTGACAGCCTGGGTGATGACGGGCAGAATTCAATCCTTCCTGGGTTAGTATGTCCGAGTAAAAGTAGCGTCAGCCGGGGGCACACCACCAGGGTTGGGTTTGAGCAGCGTCATCGCAGTAGCCCTCGACCAGAGTCGACGGGAGCCAAAATAGATTATGGTTGCCCGGTTATTGTCTAAAAGTTTGCAAGCACCCTTGTCAGTCGTGTGGAAGGGATTGGCGGTGCGGCCTGAATACATAGGCAAACAACGTACGGAAACGTGGTAGAACGTGAGAAAAACATGTGTTCCGACCGCCCCTGGGTCAGATACCTGAGAATCAGCCGTCCTTAGAACGTCAGCAATCTTTTCACTAATCCCTCTTTCGTGCAAACTTGGAGATACGGCTCATTATTCATGCTTATCAGCTCAGAAGCCACGGTCAAAAGCGCAAAACTAGTAAAGAACGTGTCTAGATAGAGACAATTCCCGGGATAGCAGGTAGCGAAAGGAACTATCGTTAAGAATGGACGACGAATAAAAATAGACCCTTCTAGACATGAGTATACGTGAGCACCATTTGAGACCTTCATTCCAGTGGAATGGTCTTCTTTGGAAGAACAGGGCTAGTCAGCGGATTGGCTAAATTAGAAGGCTAGGATGTGTGCAATACTAATCAAACGGCATGTCATGGACGGACCCCAAACCGGTTAATGAGGAGACCAGTACTCTCAACGAGACCTTCAAAGGACAGTTCAGCTTTTGGCACTTGCAAAAATGTTACTCGGGCGTAGAACAGTTCCGGAGAATTTCCAGGAAGCTGTAGAAGGCTTGATTGACGGAATGCTTTTTTGGGTTTCCAGTAACCCCAACTCATCCAGTCCAGCTGAAGCTGAGGGCCAATTTTAGAACCAACCAGGGGCCATTGTTGCAGATGTCTTAGTTTCGTCAAACTTGGCACTATGTACATACGTCGTCACAAAAATCGGTCAGGCCTAATCAGACTACACGATTGCCACGACTAACGACCCACGAAACAATATCACGCGACTGCCTACGCCTTTTTAAAGCTACGAATTCGGCCTGCTGTTTGTCCGTATAACAACCGCTATCCGACGAAATCAATATACATTCAATTGCGACGGTCATTCCGGCTTTTCTCCTGAACGTAAGAGAAGGACGCTCGATGCACAAGCCGAAAACCCCTGGACCACACCATGTATTACGCGTTCGTAAAATTGCACATCGAAAGATTCGTCTATCTAAAGGGACCACCATCCTGTGAGTTTTGTTTCTTGAGTAATTTGAACAGGGTCCAAGTACGTAGGAATTACGACCGATCCTTAGGAGCACACCCCATTTTTTTCTGAGGCCGTCGTTTGAACGAAAGAAACTTTAACATAAAGAAGTAGCATTAAAATGTTCCCACGTGGTCGCGGATTTTGGGTGTTGTTTAGACGTACTCGTGATCCACTACGAGCGGGATTCAAATTTCATCGGCTGTCAATGCCTGAGCACAGTTTCACTGAAGATGGTAAAACATTTTCGAAAAAGTTGTCTATTCTACGTGTTTTTGCTGTTTTGTATCAGGAAATAACCTAAAGATTACATGAACTATAACTCCGCCCTCTGTCACGCAATGTCTGAATGGAGCAGACATTCGCGACATATTTGGGAGCACGTTTTCTATAGCTGCAGCAGACCTACGGCTTAGCAAATATTAGGAATTTGTCACAGCTAGTAAGTATT